AAGAAAAGAAACTTTGTAAATGTAAATTGAAGTACAACAGTAATTCTTGTCTGTAATAAAACCATCGTAAATAAATTAGTGTCTTTGCCTGTCTATTGCACTTCTTCTATTTCTGCTGACCAGGGGTGCTCATATCCTTGTAATTTGATTCGTTTCGTAACATTTGACTATTATATTGCATACTTTTGACCTTTACTTCAACTACTTATTTTTTAACCATCATCTGTTTATTTTGTATGTTGACCTTAATAAGTAACATTTAGTACACTTTTGTCCCTTATTTCAACTTTGTATTTTTTGACCGAATGGCCACCAATACACGTGCAATGCAGCAGAGGAAGAATGTACATTTGAGTTGCAATTGGTTTACTTAACCCTCTGGATGCCGTTTTCTTTCTGACGCACATTTTCTTGATATCGGAAAAGTGAAGGTTTGAGCGAGAATTGGATCTATCTCTGGCTATAAAATTACGCAGAGGTGGGGAATATCAAATTTCCTATTGGACGGTGTAAATTTAACTGCAATTATTAAACCGGTTTAAAAAAAAGACACTTCTAAGTGTTGTCCGAGAATTTATTCTGTGTTGAAAAACAGTAAAATTCTCCGCTTTTTATCGTACACCGATAAAAGTACTGTGCGACGTTTTTATTTATTTAGAATCTTTACGTAAACTGTGAGCGAACAAAATACTGCCTAATATCAGAACAACATAACTACATACCAAATTGAGTTATATGCGTATGTATAATGACATACATTCAATGCCAAAAATAGCTCGCCGTAAATGACGAAAACTGATTTTTCTCTATGGCGTCAAAAGGCGACAGAGAGGTTACACACGTACAAAGACAAGGGGGCATAACTCCGCTATGCTTAGCACTAATTTATTGTAACTCAGGTCACTTGGTGAGAATTAGCTGTGGGTAAGGATAATATATTTTCGTGGTGTTTTGTTCACGAGGAACCAAACTATTCCAACAGAAATATTGATAAAGAAACTGTTTACGTTTAGTTATAAAATAAACCCTGGCTGGTTTTATGTCTTTGATAACGTTGGAGAAAGACGACACTGGTATTTTGATTAATATATATCTCCCCTAATTTTCTTTATGGTATGGAAAATCTCGATGTGTAAAACGGAATTTGACGCTTTTTCGACACAACATAAAATGACTGCTTTCAGAAACCAAGTAAATAATGTCTTGAATATGTAAACAATTTGATAGTTTATCGTGTATCTTAATTGGACAAGACACGTACCTGTTTGGCATCAATGTACGTAATGAAATAACCAAAAGAATATTTCAAAATAACCAAAATTATATTCAATATTGGACATATATTTGTTCATTACTATGTTATTATTTCTCTTCATCTCGTCTCGGAATTATACAATAAAAGATGCGAAGAAAGCTCTATTGGTATAGAATTATCAGGATAATCGTATAAGGCTGAACCAACGGGGTACCTTGCATAGATTTTATTTTTATACATTTTACAATTCCTGGAGAAATAAAGTAAACAGTTGAAACAGTTTAATATCCTGTGATCACAATATTGAAAAAAACCATTGATTATATAATGCAAAACGAGAGGAATAATTCGTAAATTGTTCGTGACTAACACGCATCTGGCGAATCATTAGATACCACTGTTCTGTGTATCAAACGACATAAAAAACAATTCAAAGACCAAGACAATTCTTTCAGAAATGTGTGAATATATTTTAACGAAAAATATTATCCATTTTGTAATATATTCAGTTTTAGTTATAAAATAAAAATGAAATGGCTATTCATGGACATTGGTTAAATGAACTTTTAATATTGACTATTACACATCCCAAGAAATATGTATGTGCTGCAGTTACATTTACACTTCATCTTGTAACACTTGTCCAAAGGATAGAAATATCGTATTCGACACTAAAAAGCTATCAATTCTTATGTACATTGAACATTGACAAATATCCAAAGTGAAATTAATTGTGTGAAAAAATGTATAAAATATATGCAAAATCTACATCATAACTGAAACTGTAAACAGCATGGTACAATGATTGTGTGCACTCTCATTCAAGGACCTTCACCTCGAAGAAATTACTAAATATGTACAACAATGTTGATGTATGACATCACTACCGGTGACCGACTTTTACAAAATGGTGTGTTCACTGTCAACAGTACGCGGGATTTTACGAGGGAACTTTCGTTGATTCAGGGATCGTATATACATAAATGTGACATGTAAGTAATCAAAAACCATCGACAATCTATGTATTGTTATTTGTTGTTATAATTCTCATTGAAACAAACTGAAATAGTCAGAAATTCTGATAAATACTGTTGTCGTTGTGCGTGATTTTGCGTCAGTCATGGCGTCACACAGGACGGTAACTTTGACAATTTCTGTTGAAAATATCAAATCATTGCAATGTATCTATTTTAAATTCCCTAATTCTTCCTACGATTCTCTTCCCATGCATATTCTGAAAATGTTGAGCCAATATCTTGAACAAATAGACCAATGGATAGTTCATAATAGGAGAAAATGCTACACTGTATTTTGCTTTGTTTACATTTCAAACAAGTGCAGTTTTTCGAGCACAGCGTTGGTTTTCACACCTAACTTATTTTGCTTGATTTCATCCAGCCACTTTGTATTGGTGACAAAAACCATTGGTCATTTGATTCTAAGATGTATGAGGAATTCAAGGATGTGTGTATCACAGATAAGTTTGAAATATATGTGATGTTACAGGCGTCTCATAACCGGTGTACCTGAAATGTTATTCTGTAAACACTATCCAATATGGCGGAAAGTTCACTTCGGTGTTCGTGTTTGTGTATTTTCCAAAACATTCTAAACGATTCTAGGGTTATCGGAGACGTTTTGGAATGATCATTGGTGATTTCATAAAAGACAGATACGCCTGATCACTAATATGCTTTTTTAAGAATTCATTTCTCTGAGTAAATATCCGAAATTTAGATCTCAAAACATGCTGTAAATAAGGCTGTGAGTGGTGATTTAGTCATGTGTAAAAAATGGCGATATTTACGAGGTACCTAATTTTCAGAGGTCATTTTCAGTACTTTCGCTTGGCCTAAAATGCCAGTGGATGATATCATAGAACAGGGAATTTCCCACCTTTTTCAAAACTGTGAACTGTATTTGTGTGGGTGGTGTATTTTGAATTTCTTTCGACTTCAAAGTGAGGGTTGTAGAGGAGGGACATATATGTCCCTGTGGCATCCAGGGGGTTAATATCCTACACAGGTTGAAATGACATTTTGACAAAATTAAAATTATTTCTCACTTTTGCACATGTATATTTTAATGAAACTACTGTTGTTGTGGAGAAAAAATAATAAAAACAAAACAAACATTGTTTCGGTTCATGTAACATGAACATTTTGCACAAACGCCAAATGCTTCCCGGAAATCAGATCGTGACATTCGTTTCACTTGCAGAAAATGAATGCTGACAAGTGATGCATTGCAATCGTCAGTGCAGGCTTTTCCGCCACATGCTTCGCGGAAATCAGATCGTGACATTCGTTTCACGTGCAGAAAATGAATGCTGACACGTGATGCATTGCAATCGTCAGTGCAGGCTTTTCGTTCGTTGGAGAAAGACATACTTTACGGTCGCTGACCAATATTCGTGGTCTTTATAGGAACTAGTTATCGTTGGACCAATATTCGTGGTCTTGGTATAAACTAGATGGGACAATATTCGTGGCCTTTAGAAACGTAAAGTTTGTACTTGCTCCTATAGTCAATTATTCATTCCTGCATTCGTGGTCATGGACCTTGCATAGTTTCTTTATTTTTCATGAAGAAGAGAGTCACGTTTAGTTCCCCACACGTCATATAAAGAGAATCACGTTTAGTCCCCCACACGTCATATAAAGAGAATCACGTTTAGTTCCCCACATGTCATATAAAGGGAATCACGTTTAGTCCCCCACATGTCATATAAAGGGAATCACGTTTAGTTCCCCACATGTCATATAAAGGGAATCACGTTAAGTTCCCCACATGTCATATAAAGAGAATCACGTTTAGTTCCCCACATGTCATATAAAGGGAATCACGTTTAGTTCCCCACATGTCATATAAAGGGAATCACGTTTAGTCCCCCACATGTCATATAAAGGGAATCATGTTTAGTTCCCCACATCTCATAAAAAGAGAATCACGTTTAGTTCCCCACATGTCATATAAAGAGAATCACGTTTAGTCCCCCACATGTCATATAAAGGGAATCACGTTTAGTTCCCCACATGTCATATATAAAGGGAATCACGTTTAGTTCCCCACATGTCATAGAAAGAGAATCATGTTTAGTTCCCCATTAATCGTATAATTTCCAGTGGAGTAGAAAAGACGAATGGTAGACACTTGAACGTCGTCGCCTTCCACTGTGCAACAACTGATGTCAGAAAACTGCATAGAAACAGTTAAAACAGCTGGCCATACCCTTATTCACAGCTAACCCTATGGATCATAAAGATTGTTTGATTGACCCCCTTAGGGTCATGAAGGTGTTTCATCTGAAAGGGGGGATACCTAACCCGAATAACCATTGGGGGTGCTTGAAATTCATCGTCGCAGGATAGAGTTAGTGTAGCCTACCCTGACCCTAAGGGTCAAAGTGGCAGGCAAGACTCATGAAGTGTAAGCCATAGCTAATTAGAGCCATAAGTTGCGCCCGGGGAAAATGCAATCTAGAAAGTAGGCTAGGCGCCTATAAGTTCAAAGACAGTCTAAACCTGGACTTATGCTACGACAGTCACAATTTGTCAGGTGGGCTTTCAGTTATGAAATGATGTCATTGAGGAATTATGTTTTTCAACGTTTTTTTAAATTTACTTCAAATTAAAAGCAATGGAATGTGAACAAACCATAGTCCATATGACAACACAAGAGAAGAAATTCGAAGTTCACAGAAACCCATATGATATTTTGCAAACCACAAACGTGACCTACTTACACTGTCGTTAATCCAAATCATCACTGGTCATCTAGGGGCGTGTTGGTATGAGCTTCGTCTGGCTGTGAATAACTCTCGCGTTATCCACAGCCAGTAAAAGGAATCCACATTTTGTTTTACAGCATCCAACTATGACCACATAACAATACGCCACATAAACATCCAGTCACCTTTACATCAATCCCACAATTCCGTGTGGAGGTGTGTGTCGAGGTCAAGGACGATTGAGGTCAAACGAGAATGTAAAATCCGATGCTGGTCGCAGCTGGTTATTATTATCCGTTAATGAAAAAAACCCGGTTAGGAATTACGAAGGATTATAGCTGAATATGGGATTTATTACGTCATACAAGTATATTGGATATTACCCGAATTAGCTTATATATGCCTATTATCCCCCATTTACGTAATAACACTTTACAGCGTTAGATGTGAGGTGAGGTGAAATTGGGTTTACGTCGCGTCCAAGATTATTGCACTTATATAGCGACGTGCATGCACGTGTATGTGTGTGTGTGGCTGCTTGTACTAGTCCGGACTGATGCCGATTGATAGTGCTAGCTCACTGAGATACCATGCCGCAGTTTAACATGAATACCCCACTCAGACACAGTATACTGACTCCGAGCCGACCAGTCCTTGTTTTAGCCCCTAATGCCGAGCGCCAGACAGGGTAACAACAAGTACAATCTTTTAACGTCTTTTTGTATGACGCGGCCCGGGATCGAACCCTGGACCTTCCGCTCTCCGGGCGGACTACAGCGTTAGAAATTGGCATTAGTCCTGTATGCCTATCCTGAGGACTAGTAGAAATTTGCCTGTTTCAAGGGTTTTACTATATGTTATCATTGTAAGGACTAGTCGACTAAAACTGTTAGTTTTTATCGCTGTTCTATGGGTGGACAAAACGGATTAGGCATATTCCCTAGCAAAATAAGCACGACTCGGGCCTATACTTGTTTGCGTCATGATGGAGTTACGTTACAAGCATGATATAAGGCCTATTAGTCGGACCAACTGAAACATCCCTTCTCTGACACGTGATGCGACGAGGCCAGTGCTCATATGACAGCTAGGCATTTTAGTGCAGACGAAATCCTTGGTTCAGTAGTCCACATCCTCGGTTATTCATCTAGTGCGATGTCCGGTTTACTTTTACCACCATAGAATGGATATAGGCCTAAATACACCGTGTAGTTGTGGGTGATGTTTATTGACTGCTTTGTGCCGAGAGATGGCCTTAGGGACTGGTAACTCGTGACCCCTCCCTCATTTTAAAATTTAAGTAAAAGTAATAGCACTGAGAATGAAATTCACTTTTTTACGGTGGCCCATAAGGGACATATATATGGAGTCTGTTTTTCCATATTTTGATATTTCACTTACTTTTGTCGTTACCTTTTGCAAATTAACACGATTTGTCTTACAAATATGTGATATATCATGTGTAAAGAAGATATTGAATCGCTAAAAAGTGAAACTAAAATGTCAAAAACCAAAACGAAAATGTCAAAAACAAAAGCGAAAATGTCAAAAACTAAAATGAAACCACAGAAAACTATTTCCACCGCAGTGGAAATATTATCGCCGCGGTGGAAATGGTTTTCTGTATTTTCACTTCGTTTTTGACATTTTCGCTTTTGTTTTTGACATTTTCATTTTAGTTTTTGACATTTTCTTTTTGGTTTTTGACATTTCCATTCTAGTTTTGACATTTTCGCTTCACATTTCAGCGACTCAATAGCTACTTGAAAGTACATTTTCCATGTTTTCGGTTGTTTTTATACATGATTTATCACATATTTGTATGACAAATTGTGTTAATTTGCAAAAGGTTACGATAAAAGTAAGTGAAACATCAAAATATTGAAAAACAGACTCCATATATCCCTTATGGGCCACCGTACTTTTTAACTTGTACTTTATATTCAGATTTTGGTACGCCCTTTGGAACAATGTAATTGTCCATCATCTTTTCTCTCCAGTATTTACAATGTTTGTGTGGTGCAACAACCCCTGGAGTAGTCGCGGCGATAAAACTATGGCCGTCCGAAAACGTATGATGTCCGAATACCTATCATCCGACGATATATCTGAAAAGTTAAGACTTCGTCAGTCATTTAAGTACTTTAATATGTTTAAATGTTGTAGCAGGATCACTCGGAGTACATGGGGTTTTATGCACGCGTGCCTCCGTGCGTGCGTGTGTGTGTGTGTGTGAGTGAGTGGATGGAGGTGTGTGAGTGGATGGAAGGATGTGTGAGTGGATGGAGGTGAGTGTGGATGGATGGAGGTGTGTGGGGGTGAATGGAGGTGTGTGTGTGTGTGTGGATGGAGGTGTTTGTGTGTGGATGGAGGTGTGTGTGTGTGGATGGAGGTGTGAGAGTGGATGGAGGTGTGAGAGTGGATGGAGGTGTGTGAGTGGATGGAGGTGTGAGAGTGGATGGAGGTGTGTGAGTGGATGGAGGTGTGTGAGTGGATGGAGGTGTGAGAGAGGATAGAGGTGTGTGAGTGGATGGAGGTGTGTGGGGGTGGATGGAGGTGTGTGTGGGTGGATGGAGGTGAGTGGATGGAGGCGTGTGGGGGTGAATGGAGGTGTGTGGATGGAGATGTGTGTGGGTGGATGGAGGTGTGTGTGGATGAGGGATGTGTAAGTGGATGGAAGGGTGTGTACGGGTGTGGATGGAGGTGTGTGTGTGGATGGAAGGGTGTGTGGGTGTGGATGGAGGTATGTGTGGATGAGGGGTGTGTGAGTGGATGGAAGGTTGTGTGTGTGTGTGGATGGAGATGTGTGTGGGTGGATGGAGGTGTGTGTGGATGAGGGATGTGTAAGTGGATGGAAGGGTGTGTACGGGTGTGGATGGAGGTGTGTGGTGTGGATGGAAGGGTGTGTGGGTGTGGATGGAGGTATGTGTGGATGAGGGGTGTGTGAGTGGATGGAAGGGTGTGTACGGGTGTGGATGGAGGTGTGTGTGGATGAGGGATGTGTAAGTGGATGGAAGGGTGTGTACGGGTGTGGATGGAGGTGTGTGTGTGGATGGAAGGGTGTGTGGGTGTGGATGGAGGTATGTGTGGATGAGGGGTGTGTGAGTGGATGGAAGGGTGTGTGTGTGTGGATGGAAGGGTGTGTGTGGATGAGGGGTGTGTGAGTGGATGGAGGTGTGTGTGAGTGGATGGAGGTATGTGTGGGTGGATGGAGGGGTGTGTGGGTGAATGTAGGTGTATGGGTGGATGGAGGTGTGTGTGGTTGGATGGAGGTGTGTATGTGTGTGTGCGTGTGTGTGTAGATGTATGTGAGTGGGTGGAGGTGTCTGTGTGTGTGTGTGGATGAGGGGTGCATGGGTGGATGGTGGTGTGCGTGCGTGTGTGTGTGTTGATGAGGTGTGTGTGAGTGGATGGATGTGTGTGTGTGGGTGGATGAGGTGTCAGTGGATGGAGGGGTGGGTGGGTGGGTGGATGGAGGCGTGTGTTTGGGTGTGTGTAGATGAGGTGTGTGTGTGTGTGTGTGTGTGTGTGTGTGTGTGTGTGTGTGTGTGTGTGTGTGTGTGTGTGTGTGTGTGTGTGTGTGTGTGTGTGTGTGTGTGTGTGTGTGTGTGTCGGTGTGTGTGTCGGTGTGTGAGTGGATGGGTGAGTGGATGGGTGAATGTAGGTGTATGGGTGGATGGAGGTGTTTGAGTGGATGGAGGTGTGTGTATGTGTGTGGGTGTGGGTGTATGGAGGTGTGTGTGTGAGTGGATGGAGATGTGTGGGGGTGGATGGAGGTGTGTGTGGATGAGGGATGTGTAAGTGGAAGGAAGGATGTGTACAGGTGTGGATGGAGGTGTGTGTGTGAATGGAAGGGTGTGTGGGTGTGGATGGAAGGGTGTGTGTGGATGAGGGGTGTGTGAGTGGATTGAGGTGTGAGTGAGTGAGTGAGTGAGTATGGTTTTACGTCGCTTTTAGCAATATCACGGCGGGGGACACCAGAAATGGGCTTCACACATTGTACCCATGTCTGGAATTGATGGAGGTGTCTGTGAGTGGATGGAGGGGTGTGTGGGTGAATGTATGTGTATGGATGGATGGAGGTGTGTGTGTGTGGATGGTGGTGTGTATGTGTGGATGAGGGGTGTGTGAGTGGATGGAGGTGTGTGTGAGTGGATGGAGGTATGTGTGGGTGGATGGAGGGGTGTGTGGGTGAATGTAGGTGTATGGGTGGATGGAGGTGTGTGTGGTTGGATGGAGGTGTGTATGTGTGTGTGCGTGTGTGTGTAGATGTATGTGAGTGGGTGGAGGTGTCTGTGTGTGTCTGTGGATGAGGGGTGCATGGGTGGATGGTGGTGTGCGTGCGTGTGTGTGTGTTGATGAGGTGTGTGTGAGTGGATGGATGTGTGTGTGTGGGTGGATGAGGTGTCAGTGGATGGAGGGGTGGGTGGGTGGGTGGATGGAGGCGTGTGTAGATGAGGTGTGTGTGTGAGTGGATGGAGGTGTGTGTGTGTGTGTGTGTGTGTGTGTGTGTGTGTGTGTGTGGGTGGATGAGGTGTCAGTGGATGGAGGGGTGGGTGGGTGGGTGGATGGAGGCGTGTGTAGATGAGGTGTGTGTGTGAGTGGATGGAGGTGTGTGTGTGTGTGTGTGTGTGTGTGTGTGTGTGTGTGTGTGTGTGTGTGTGTGTGTGTGTGTGTGTGTGTGTGTGTGTGTGGATGGAGGTGTGTGTGTGTGTGTGTGTGTGTGTGTCGGTGTGTGAGTGGATGGGTGAATGTAGGTGTATGGGTGGATGGAGGTGTTTGAGTGGATGGAGGTGTGTGTATGTGTGTGGGTGTGGGTGTATTGAGGTGTGTGTGTGAGTGGATGGAGATGTGTGGGGGTGGATGGAGGTGTGTGTGTAGGTGGATGGAGGGTTGTGTGGGTGTGGGTGGATGGAGGTTTGTGTGGGTGGATGGAAGGGTGTGTGTGCGTGGATGGAGGTGTGTGTGGGTGTGGGTGGATGGAGGTGTGTAGTGGGTGGATGGAGGGTTGTGTAGTTGGATGGAGGGTTGTGTGGGTACTGGTGGATGGAGGGTTCTGTGGGTGTGGGTGGATGGAGGGTTGTGTAGGTGGATGGAGGGTTGTGTGGATGTGTGTGGATGGAGGTGTGTAGGTGGATGGAGGGTTGTGTAGGTGGATGGAGGGTTGTGTAGGTGGATGGAGGTGTGTAGTTGGATGGAGGG